AAGGTTCACAGAGGACTGTGTATGGCCATGTAGATCCAGTGTCACCAGTAAATGCCTCACTAAAATTACACAGCTACCACTTTTATGCTTGCAGGGACTTTCTATGAACCCTTAAACCATATGGTATCCCTTTGGATGCATGTGTGCATATAAGAGCTTTTCTCAGGCATTAATGCAACCAGCTTTCTCCTGCTGTACCTGGACTGTGACCTCATCGCTTATACTGTCCGACAATGACCAGACACCAAGAGTCCATTGTTTTCCCATCAGGCTTAGATTGTCTCAGACATCGTCCAACAGACGTTTAGAATTCTGGATTTGAGTTTATGGCTCGTCGCCATCTTGTCAGTTTGTAGTGCCAGAAAATCAAAACAGGGCTTTTGGGTTTTAGGCCAAACATTCCCTGAAACACACTTCTCTTGAAGCCAAAAACCAACACAAGGACAAGCTATATCAGAATCAGCTACTGGGACTAAAACATCTTGTGCTCCTTTTTATTCCTAGAGAGAATTTGAGTTTTTTCCATTGACTTCCATATACTTTACAGCAATTTAAAGCCAGTTAAGGGTGCACAGTTCACTGCAACCTTTATGTGAAAGTGTAAAAGAATACATATTTTGGAAAGCAGCGATTTAGGAATGGTTGTATCCATTGTTAGGATCGATGGTTGAATGCTTCAGGGTAATTTTATTGAGTTTGCTTCTGCTCTCATTTAATAGCACCTAATTATGATGCATGGTCTGCTCAGAGGTTTGTAGCTGCAGACCATTGCATAGATGCAATCAGAGCCTCTTGCACTACCTACAATCAGGAGCAATAGAGAACAAAAACAATCTATCACCCGGCTCTTATCCTGAGACAGTCCATCATAAAGGAAACTGCCACTCTCTTGTGTCCCTCCTTCTTCCTCCTCCCCTCCACTAGTCTCAAGTTCACTCACTCGCCTGTCACTGAGAGACCTTCCTTCCTTGATTTGGACAGATTTAGAGCAGGGGATTCTGGGATGCCGGAGGGCGCCTTGCTGTTTAGGATTGGCCACTTGGCGGCTGATGTTGGAGACATGCTTCGATTCCGACATCCATTAATGAGAACACAGTGGCCGAGTGGGCAGTGAGCTGTCCACTCAACTCAGTATCTTTCTCCTTTGTGTTACTGGGAGGAAAAAGAAGGATAGTCCTGCAATAGCTGGGTGTTTGAGTGGTGTCAGGAGATGATGGTTTAAAAAAAAAAAACGTTTTAATGCCACCAATAGACCAACTTATAAGTAACATATAACAAAAAATAGCTTTAAATGATGTGTCTACAGATTTTTATTCAGATTCTTAAACACCCTTCACAGAGAGTAGAAACACAAACGATACCACATACGCCACTTAACTTAGCTTAGCATAAAGCCTGGAATCCTGGGGAAACAGAACTCCATAGCCTCTACATTTGACTAATTAGCACATTTTGTTTGTTTAATCTGTACACTAACAGAAATGTAAACCCAGGCGAGCTGTTTCCCCATGCTTCCAGTTTTTACGCTAAGCTAAGCTCCCAGCCCCATAGCTTCTCATTAACCGTAAAGACATGACAGTAGTGTTGATCTTCTCATCCAACTCTCAGCAAAAAAGCAAGTGTGTATATTTCCCACAATGTTGTACTATTTATTTAAACAGAGGCTCTTGTTTCTCCTCAGGGTGTAAAATAAGGGAACCAGAGAGTACATAAAGCATTAAGGGGTTATCTCTGTGGTAGACTGGACACAGCTGTCATCTCTACACTGATCTGAATCTTCATTAAGTGTTATTACCTTTCACATACAACTGATATTCTCGAGAAAACCCACATTCTTTGATTCAAGTTATTTTAAACCACAGAATCTTAGATAATTGTTTAAACAATTATACAGATGAATACAGATGAAACTCTGATGGTGGGTGATCCCCTTTTTTACAGTGTGCAAGAGCATTTCAGGGCATTTATCCATGAAGTCGTTTTTGCTAGCATTTCATCCAGTGGTTTTAGTGTTATGAGGTACAGGAGAATTTTTCTAGGATGTTTTGTTGTATAATTATCTAATGTAATTGATGTTTCACCTGTTGAACACCCCTCTCCAGGCTTACATCTTTAATTTAACCGCCTGCATATTGCACTCTGCTTTGTTGACATTTATTGGATTAGAAAGCTTTGCCACAAGTAAAAACTGTAAAGCCATATTAGAATGAACGGTAATAAAAGAGACACAGCTGCAGGTTGAAAAGTTGAACCAGTGCTTATTGCTGCAGTGACTTCATTTCAAGGTCGTACTTCATTATTTACAACAGTTGCAGTTATGTTAATGGGGTTTGGAGAAGTTTTGTTCCAGTGTATGAGGTAGCTTTCAACAGATGAGAAAATACACAAGTACACAACTGCGCACGTGCTTAAAAAGCTGGTCTTCTGCAGTCTCAGCGAAAAAAGAGTCAATTTTGGCAAGAAATCCTGATAAACACAGGGATCTCAAGCTTCAACCCTAATCCTCATCCCTCTGAATTATTTACACCTACGTTCTGCTCTCAGTCGAGCCAAGCGAGTGTGCACATCACGTCAACCGAGTGAGAGGTCAACAACGCTGTCATTCTAACACCATTGTCTGTCATATTCTCACCTCCTCAGTCACTCACATACACACGCACACACACGGCAGCAGCAGATGCTCACCCAGGGTTGACCTGGATCTTAGAGGTTTGTGTTTTAACCTCATTCAGGGAGGTTAGGGTCGGGCCTTACAACGATAAACAAATTACACCTTTTTTGGGCCTTTTTGTTCGTTTGTTTCTTTTTTTTTTTCATTTGTCAGGAACATATTTTGTATTCTTCTCTTTAAAAAACATATTTTTTATTCCTTAATTGACTCTTTGTTAGCATCTTGAAGTGTAATTATTAGATGATGATAAATAGGGGTCCAGGCGTTGTAAGAGCCACTTTTTGGTCATTTTAGGTGATAAAAAGAAGCAAAAATCATCCATCTTCTATTCAGTATGTAACTGCGAAGGTCCTTGTGAGATTAAATTTAATATCAAAGTCAGTGTACAGTGAAATAGATGCATGACATTTGTTTTTTAGGAACCTACAGATGGAACTTTTGAAATCTTTTTACTAAAATAATATCTTTATCCTGAACAAATTAGGAGACAATTAAAGACAAAATGTTTTGTGTCTCTTTGTAGTTTCCGTCTGTTTGTGCTTGTTTACGTGTCCTTGAAGTCATTTTAAGCTTCATTCAGTTGTGTGATTGACTTTCCAATTAGAAATATTAACAGTCACTTCAAACAGAGGCTCTGGCCCAGGGGGTAGGCCCGTTCAGTAATCCCTCCATGCCCTTTATGTTTGCATAATGGGTTAGTAGACAGTGATGTGACGTACAGTATTAACTTTGAGCTCACACAACTCTCAGCGCAATTTCTGCAGTTTGCGTTCTGCTTCACAAACTTTCCTCAACACCGACAAAAACTCATCGGTAGGGACAGTTTGTTAATGCCGTCAAGCAGTCCAGAATTTATATTCCTACGGAGAGCATAGTAATTCAACCTTATTGCTCTGCATGCGTTATTGTGCGCCGTGAGACAGTATGCGTGACAAACCCTGCACTGCCCTTTCTCTCAAAGCAGAGAACATGAGCAGTTTGAGGTATAATATTTCCAAATTCTGCTAAGACCAAACTTGTTGTGATTATTTTAGACGTTCCTGTAATTGCAAAGTGCCAGCAGAAATGTTCTACAAGTGAAGCCTGCTCGCCTGAGCTTTATTTTCAGAGTGGGAGTGGGACGGTAGGGCAGCAGGAAGAACATTTTCCCTTTTATACAGTCAAAGGGATTCAAATGGGTCGGATTTCACAGTTTGATCTGTTTTCAATTACTGGGCCGGCCCGGGTACAGAAGAAAATGCTGAACAATTGAAATCTATGGAGGCAGTAGGTATAGAGCGGGAGAAGGAGAGGAGGAATTGGAATGAGAGACAAGGGGAAATGAAAAGAAAGAGGAGGAAGAGTCCAGGGGGAGAGGAGAGTCCCAGAGAAACAATTGGATTAGACAGAGAGAGAGAAGGAGAGCAGCGGAGAGAGTGTTTGATAAATGGGCTGTTTATTTAGCTTTCACTGTGAATGAGGCAGGGTCTGATGATGTGTTGTCCCCTCTCTCTGTCTCTGCGTCCCTCGCTATGAGGTCAGACTTTTTTGGCCTGAACGCTCAATTGGCCGTCCATTGCCAAAGGGTGGGACATCTCGCTGAGTCCTAATGGCTTTCACAGCTGGGTCTCCCCCAGGCCCCCTCTGTCATCAAGTTTCATCCAACATCAAAAAGACACACCTTCCACTTGGCCGCGCTCACGTTTCCCTCCCCCGAAGGAAATCAGAGACTCTTGGCTTCTCATAGAGCTCCTGGCTATCACTTTGCCCCCGTTACTTGATGGTTTTCCCAGTATGTTGAAGTTCTGCGTGCGTATCGGCGGCCTCGTGGGCTTTCCAGGCAACCTGAGAAAGTATGTGTGGATTTTGAAGGCATCAAGGCTATCAAAGCAGCAGCCGGAGTTGATCATCGCCAGCAGGGTTTGTTTGGAAGAGCGGGAGGGCAAGGAGCTGGAGTCCACCGCTATCAGATGGGGGGGGGGAGTTAACCAGAGCTGCATTTATTAAAACCACCAGTTAATCTCCATCCTTGGAGTAAATTGCTCATTGCTGCCACCTAAGGCCACCCACTCCATCTACAGAAGTTGATAGTTTTGCCCCCCAATGAGACCATCGCACACTCAAAAACAGACTTGCTTGGGGCACCAGAAGCCCAATCCGTTACAACCCTGATGACATCATCAGGGTGTCCAGAGCCACAGAGGACTGTATACGACAAGCTGACTGGTACTGCTTGTCACTAGTACATAGAACAACATGTGTAAAATCAATAGAGCGCCCCTCGAGTCATGTTTGACCTTCGTCCTGCTTTTCTCCATTTCCTAACAAAGTCCTTCCACGTCTCTTTCAGGACCACTGGTTTTGGCGGGTGAGAGATAACTCTGTAATGCCAGGATACCCCATGCTCATCAGCGTTTTCTGGAGGGGCCTGCCACCCAAGATAGATGCCGTCTACGAGAACAGTGAGGGCAAGTTCGTCTTCTTCAAAGGTAGGCTCACATGCTTCAGCGCCATCATCACTGTTGTCACCATACCGCTGTGTAAAGCTGTTTTCCATTTCCATCCTGTCCAAATATTGTGTCTGTGCCATCCTGGTTTACATTTTCTTCTTGTGTTATTCATCTTGGGCATCCACAGGATATGTTCTGTGTACATGGCTGACATGTTGTCTTTTTGTATAAACTGTATGCATGTCTTATTAGTATTCAGCGTGTGTTTTCTGTATGCATCCAGATTTAGAAACAAACAGTTTTTTTTTTAATCTTTAATAACTGCTGTATGTTATCATGCTCACTCAAAGAACAGCCTTGATCTTATCTGTGTGTGTGAGTTCAATGTAAATCTGTGGAAGATTAAGGCAATGTTTTGCTCACTTGGTTCCGCCATAATCCACCAGTTCTGATTTATAATACTGCTGTACAGTTTAGTGGTGCTGGTAATACGTTTTAGTTTACATTTTCAACTGTAGGTATAATCAGTATGCATAACTCTTGGTAATCACTGTCACGCCATGTGGCAGGTTTTCAGTACTTACTGTCAGTGTTTAATCATCTCTAGTTTTGATTTTGTCTTTTGACCTTTTTGAAGAGATTTGTCTACATATTCAAATCTACTTTACGTTAGCCCCCAAACACAGAGATTTAAAGCTAATTATGTCTAAAGCCGAAAAGCCACTAAAAAGAAACGGCAAACAAACAAAGCAGCCCTGTAAACCCGTATTTGCATACGCTCCGGAGAGGGAGACTGATGGAGAGAGGGTGGTGATGAAAGCAGACGTAGGGAGGTAATGAAAGTCTGCTGAGGTAAAAACTACAAATCTTCACTCAAACCCATTTCTATTTTAAACCCCCAAACAATTCCTGTAAATGCAGACTACTGGTCCCATGTGCGCTACAGCTCTGGAAGTTTGATTTCGGTGCTTTATCCTCCACCCTGCTCACTTTCCGGGCTGCGTAGCAACGGGATTGCACACAGATTTAGAAAATTCTTACTAACGGAACGTCATTTCTCATTTGAACGTGCACAGCTGATTTCCCAAAAGGCCTTATTCTGTCTGTCCCCATTTGGAATAAAAAATTTAAAAGAAAGTCGGTCAGAAAACAAAATGCAGCACTCTAGGTTCTTGTCTAACCAGCCGTTTTGAATATTCTCCAACGGTGCCTTGTCTGATGAGTTCTACTAAAATAAATGCACAGATGGAGGCTTTAGAGTGTAGTTTGCACTGAAGTCATGGCTGAGACTCTGATTAGCTTGGTGCTGTTAAGGCATTACAGAGCAGGTCAGTAAGCAGACACCGCTGGTATACATTAGAGATAGATTCAGCATGTGTTCTTCATTCCAACAGTGCAGCTTTGTGCCAGTTTTGAGTCAGTGTTTCCCTGTTTCCATTCTTCTGAGACACTGAATATGCAAGAGAAGAATATGTAGTCGGCTCAGCGTGTGAAAATTATATGCAACAGTAGAATCAAGCCTATTGTCAGCTTTACTAATCAGGCTGATCGTCCTTACAGAATCGCCATCCACAGATCGATGACAGCCTGCAGACAGATTTTGAAGAATTACACTTAAAAGCTGTAAATCTAAAAAATATAAGTATTTGATTGGGCTAAATCACAAGATAAGAGGTTACATTATAAATTCAAATTAAATAAATCACATTAAATTTTAGCAGTAGCGCAGGCACCCTACAGTAAGCATGCAGCAAGATCTATACGTCAATATGCATTTTCCTCCCAGGAGGCAGGATCCAATCAGAGCTTGATTGGTGCTTTTTGTGTCAGAGGACAGACAGAGCTGCTTGCTTCATTTACCACATGCAGACATGTCTGAGAGCGTGTTAGTTTAGATTAAAGCTAGACTGTTAAATCCGCTGCGCCAATATTCCCACCCGATATTGGCTTATATATCAGTATTGGCGTGTACATTATGAGATGGAACGAGAACTTTCAGTCCAGAACTGCCAAACTTTCGGTGTCACTATTTCATAATCATAATTTCATAGTCCGACTCATATCTTCCACCCCTCTTAGTTACCGTTGGTACATCTGGCAAACTTGGCAGTGGCAGATTTACAATACAGAATACTAATATTGTTTATTTAATTAAGTCATTTTCACACCAGTGGTTCTCTGATGTTACAAAAGCAAGCTTCGAGGACTTTGAATTCAGATATTGTCAGTTGTAGCTTGCTAGTGCTAGTGCTTGTGTGTAAGTATAAGAGTTCTCTTTTTAAAGAAAGGAGAACCCATTTTCTGTAGAAGGAGTTGTTTTTTATGAATCAAGTATATCTAATTCTTTTTGGGAATGGGAGGTTCTTTTAATCTCAGGGTGTGGTGTGTTTGTGTGTGCGTCAGGGCCAGAGGAAGTGTGACCCAGAATGAGAGTAGCACTGAAAGAGAAAGGTGAAATTACAGGAATTTCCTTTCCAAAAGAAGGCCATTACATTCCAACTTACCCTCCTCCTTTCCTTTAATAAATCTCCCTCCTTCTCTTCAGCCGTATACTGTAAATACTACTTTAAGCTTAAATGTCAGATGATGTGGCCTTTGTGAAGCAACAGAATGAGCGCAAAGGTTTTCTGGGATAATGTCTGCTTTATTTCACACCCATTTCCTGCATTTGTTAAAGAAAGGTGTGCATGTCACCTTAAAGCTGACTTGCAACAGTTCCTTATGGTCTGTCAGAGCCACTGGAGTTCAGTCAGACCCCAGGAAGGAGTATGAATCCAGCCCCAGCTTTAAACACAAAAAACTATATATTATTTCATCAATTTGTGCCATGGCAGCAAACATGTATGTAGAGAAAATGGTCATATTAAACCTGATTCATTAAAAAAAGTTTCATATTGTTTATATAATCATCTGCTAGTTTCAAAGTCAGACAAACACATCAGCCTTTTTATGTTTTCTCTGCTTAGTTTCCATCTTTACCCCAACAAAGTTTCTCTACCTGAGGGGTTTAGATCCCAAAAAGATAAAAATGTATTTTTGTCAGTCGTCTTGTTGAAAGACTGCATAGAAAAGTATTTCTGGTGTACAGATATTATCATATTCATGGTCTTTGTGATGAATATTGTTTCCCCTGCATGTAATATTGAGCTTAGGCCTCATTCCAATGATTAATCAAGTGAAATTGTCTGAAAGTGGTTTGATAAAACAAAATAAACTGGTGTGTGACATGAGTCAGCAAAGAATGATAAGCTAAAATATTAGATATCTTTTTTCCTCTCTCTACCTTCGTCATTCCACCTCTTTCTTTTCTATCTCACTACTCTTCCACTCACCCACCCACTCACCCCCCACTTCCTCCCAGTACACCACCCACCTCCACCAGTGACGAAGAAAAGCACTTCCTGGGGTCACGCTGTGTCAGAAACGTGCTGTTTATCCTAATTACTCCACAGGAAGGAGGGTTTAAAGAGAAAGAAGAAAGGGGACAATCAGAAATCTCTCAAAATCTAAAACATGCTTTACATTTTTCAACATTATCATAGTCCTCCCCACAATGTCCTAATGCTCAGGTGTTTGCTTGGCTCCTTGGGGCTAGGAAACTTGTAAAAAGAGTTTTAATGTGACTCCTTGGCTGCCAGTTCTCCCACAAGGGTCGTTGTGGTTTCTTTTTATCTCAGCAGAGCAGTTACCAGCACTGAAAAGTTCCCAGAGTACCTTTAAGCAAGGGCAAGGAGAACATGTCACCATGTTTGTGTCCTATTTTAAATTAGGGAAACATCATCATCAAATACTTTAATACAAGGCAACAGGTTATTGCCCGCCATTTGTTACAAGGCTCGTCTCTGTCTTTGTAAATCTGCCCTTCTCGTGTCTTTCTCCTGGAGGGTAATCCTGGCTGTCCTTCTCCTTCTAATTTGTTTTTCCTTCTCTTTCCTGATGCGCAGGGAAGCAGTTCTGGGTGTTTAAGGACACGGTGTTGCAGTCTGGATACCCCAAGGACATCACCCAGTTTGGCCACGGGATGCCGGCCCAGAGCATTGAGACCGCTGTGTGGTGGGAGGATGTGGCCAAGACCTACTTCTTTAAAGGGGACAGGTGGGTGCAAAACGACGATTGTTTTCACAAACGATAAGGAAACTTAAAAACAAACTTCAATAATTCAGATATCATGTCCCTTGAAACCACAACGTTCCAAAAAACACCAAAGAAATCTTACAAGCAAACCCACTTGTGATTTTGTAAGCAGCATGCACAATATTAAACATAAATGTCACCATTTCATGTATTGTACGAAAGTGTCAAGATGTTTTTTATCTGCAGGTCCGTGGCAGGTCACAATTACAACACAGATACAAAAAGTATACATAACAGTACATCACACCTTAGCTATGATGCTAAAACAGCAGATTGCTGTTTTCAAGTATTTCAAGTATGATGGGCGACATTGATCCAAAAACCCACACAGTTGATTTTACATAGCCTTTTCTGTCTTCAAACAAGTACACTCTGCAACCAAGTTTTCACAACTACAAATGCGTGTCTGCAGTTCATGATTAACACCACATTCCTGTTACCAAATGAAATGCCAACAGGCCTTTGCCCCACAGTGAACTTTGACCCCAGGCCATCCTTCTGTCAACACTGATTTTGACAGACGAAAGTTACTCAGTTTCAATTTTACTCAGCTAACACAAAAATCTGTGACACATTAAAGGAAAACTCAACTTATGTGTCTTTGTAAAGTAACAGCTGCAATGCTGTCTGGCTGATTCTCTAAGTCTATGAAACTATAGTGCAGGGATGAAGATATTGTTTTGATGATGTACAAGAGAATGTGTTGCACTTTCATAGTCAGGGATTTTGCAGGTGATTTTAAAACAAGAATGGTCAAAGTGGAGGCAGCAGAGGCTGAGATATTCTCACCTGTGGTACGACTATAAGATATGAGCATAAAATACCATCTGTTGTCAATTGTACCTGCATTTATAAATGTACAGTACCTGCTTTGTCTTCCTGTGGCTCATAATTTTTTCCTGTTTAGGTACTGGCGCTACAATGAGGAAATGAGAACCATGGACCCTGGCTATCCCAAGCCCATCACAGTGTGGAGAGGTGTGCCTGATTCGCCGCAGGGAGCCTTCGTCGACAAAGCCAATGGTACGAATTGTCCTGCCCGATACTCTGATTTGGCAATAACAGCACGGTTCATGTGCCAGGCAGCATTGATTTCAGCTGGTCACTGGCACATGCTGTGCGGGAGGTAAACCAGAGTAGCATTGATTGAAATTTGCCCCAGTTATTACAGGCTCAGTGAGTGGCACACTTCCATAAATGCAATATCAGGGGAAATAGGCTGATAGAGAGTGTGTATAGCAAATGAAAGATAAAAAGAGGTCAGTTTATCCAGATTTTTTTTTATTTTTTATTATTATTTTTATTCTTTTTTCAAGTTTCACAAGCAGAATGTTCCATAATCAGTCCATCCTTCTCACTGTGCCATAAGACCCAGTTGGAGCAGGATTGTGGAAAGCAGAAAGGACAAGACCACCGCTGGGCGCTCATTCCGGTTTAAGCCAGTTGCCCATTGCCAACGGAGGGTAGGCGGGATTAAGAACTGTCAAAGAACTCACCCATTGGCCCGTCAGATAGTGTGAAGGGGGAAAACGCTTTTCCCATTGGATGTATTATGCCAGGTCGGTTCGGGCCTAGTCTTGGCATCGCCTGGGTTGGAAAAAGCATGGCAGGTGGTGCTGAACGCTCGGGCCATCTGTGCCGCAGATTCGCTGCCAGATCCGTAGCCGGGCGTGTCTGCCGGTGAGACCAGGTGGAACGGGCATCAATCGGAGCATGAAGGGTGGATTGATATCCAAGGGGATGATGGGTGCATCACATGTATTTCGGCTGGTATGAGTGTCGGCATGCATTTATTTGGCGGGCTCGCTGTTTGCAGAGACAGCGTGTCAAGCGGCGCGCTCATAACATTGACCCAGATAACCAGCCGTAATTGAGTGCGCTGCTGCGGCTGCCGATGGTAATGTGTGTGAGGCAACACGTTTCAGAGTAGGGGCCTCTGGGTGGGTGTTGACCTGGCTCTAACCCACAATAGCTCAGGCTGTCTCACCTCTCCTCTCTCTCTCTCTCTCTCTCTCTCTCTCTCTCTTAATATTCATGCTTATCACAGAACTGCAAGTTCAGCAACCTCATCTCACTGTTGCTTCATCCGGATCGTTCTGTCTCTAAATAACATTCATTTGTGTTAAATGTAGGAGAAAAGTGTGGCAGAAGCTGCTGCCAGTTGGAATGAAACCCCCCCCCCACAAGAGCGGTTGTATTTCTTTAGCTAATCACAATACTCAGCTGAACTGTAAATGAGAGATTGGAGACTGTTGTGTGTGGATTGGCTTGTGTTTCATTGCTGACACTACCACATGTTGCTCAGACTGTAACTGGTCAGGATTTAAGGACCCTTAATGAAACAAACTACTTGTCTACCACTCATCCAAACTAAATTAGTTTTGATGGAAGACCTGTGCATTCTTCTTTTAAAGGAAATATATTAAATTAAAGGTATTTGACATTTGGGAAAATAGACTTATTTGCTTTCTTGCCCTGAGTTGCATGAACAGATTGTTACCGCTCTTATGGCTGTACACAGTATAAAGCAAGGGCTTAGCATAAAGACTGGAAGCAGGGGGAATCGGGTAGCCTGGCTCACTCCACAGATCTAACTCACTAATTCACAAGTTGTATCACATTTGTTTATGTGAAACAAAAGAACAAATTGTGGTTTTAGAGGTAATTATGTAGTGTAGCTTTTGACTACAAGACTCCTGGAAGTCATTGCTCCTTACTCGCTTGCCAAAGAAATAGTTAAAGCACGGCATAACTCCCTGTCAAAAGACACAATGTAAGAGATACAAGGTGTTCATTCGTGAGCTCTCAGTGGACGGAGCCAAACTATTTCCCCCTGCTCCCGCTCTTCATGCTAAGCTAATTATTTGGCTAAGCTAATCACTTCCTGACTCAATCTTCTCTCGGTGGTAAGTGGTGTTGCCACTAAAATGATCTCTGTGATTTCCTTCTGCTCATAAATTAGTTGTAAGATAACAGTCATGTAGGCACACAGTCTGCTGGGCATAAAAACCCCCAATAACCAGCTAAAATAATGAATTATACGGAGAGAGGAATTTTAATTGGGTTTTGCTGCTATCAGATGACTTTGGACTTTGCTAAAAACATAACACTGAATAGAAAACATATTGGATTAAAAAAAATAAACATGAACAGTAACATCCTATAAAACCTCAATCAGTTTTTGTCTCTCAAACGCATATGAGAAGACGATGTTTTAAGGGATGAATCTTTTAAAACTTCAGTCTTCTTCTTCCTCACTTTCCTCACAACAAACATGATGTGATTCCAGAAGCCCTGGCTTCCACAATAGCCATCTTGCCATCTGACTGGAAATTTAGAGCATTTCCCTCCCTTATTTTCCCTGAGAAGAGTGCGCATGAATAATAAATCGTGAGAAAATAAAGTGTGAAGGGGGCCAGTGAGGAAGAGGAGAGCTTGAGAATTCAGCCAGGCTGTCATATTCAGTTTTACACAGCATATATTTTCCCAAAAAGCATCTCAGAGACAGTGACTCGCAGGTGGCAGCAAAGTTTAGTGTCAACCCAGTTAGACACAACATTTTCACAAGAAGTTATTATCATGGCACAGAAAAAAATCAAATGTCATTTCACCACATTGTATGCCTTTATTGAAACTTGACATTATGTTCCAATTTATTCATCGTCCAAATGTTTGCTGGAATGGGGTATACACTATGTGTTTGTAGAGAAAAGAAAACCATTTTTGTAAGCTTCTGTCACCATTTTCATTGCTGACACAGAGGGACCCATGTGAAATAACCCTCACTTTTTCATCAAAAAATGAACACTGGCTCACCGTGTAAGCAGACTTATGAATTTGTGTGACATCGGGACAATTGCTTTCACATTCCCGCTCGGAATAAAAACTGCCACCCCTGTGACTTGAAAAGCACGGCAGCCACTTGGTTTTCGGTGACATTTGTTGTGCTGCCGTGTGATATTAGCTGTGGGGTTTGGCTCCTGGTTGGGTGTGTTTTCTCTTTTATGACCAGATATAATTAGTCCTGAGGGACAGTCACAGACATCTCAGCTGAACAATAGAGCTGAAACGGAAACAGTGGCTCAACAGCAGAGCAGCACACACAACTGGTTCAGGTGCGCTTGCTGTACCGCAGTGGCGGGATATCGACACTTCGATTTCAGTTCAGTCCGTTTTTGTTTGTGTTTTTTTTTTTTGATGATAGGAAAGGCAGCTGTCCCAAGGCAGAGTTGGCTCAGTGTTTTAATTAGGAAAAAAATGCTGTCTGAATTGAAAGTGAGCTTAAGTCTGCCCTGCTTGGCAGACGTATGAATAACCTTAAACACAGACAGTGATGGCTTGTTGTCCAGTTATCTCTTTGGCTTATCTGGATTCTAATTATATTTATATATAAGTTATATATAAGTTTTTAAAGAGCATCTAAACACCCCCTGACAATCTTATCAGTGCACGATATACTTACAGGTTTCTGTTTCTTCTTTGCTTCCCTCCCTCAGGTTTCACCTACTTCTACAAGGGTAAGGAGTACTGGAAGTTCAACAATCAGTTCCTCAGAGTGGAGCCAGGCTACCCGCGTTCCATCCTCAAGGACTTCATGGGCTGCGAGCTGACGCCCATTGACCCCGCCCGGCCGCCAGGCGACGACGGCAACACAGACGTGGTGATCGAGCTGGACAACGAGGCGAACACGGTGAAGGCCATCGCCATCGTCATCCCCTGCGTGCTCGCGCTGTGTCTGCTGGTGCTGATCTACACCGTGGTTCAGTTCAAGAGGAAGGGCACGCCACGCCACATACTGTACTGCAAACGCTCCATGCAGGAATGGGTCTGAAACATCGGAACGAGATGAGAAGGTGGGGGAGCAGAAGAGACAGGTGAAAACAGGACAACAGCCCCCACTTTCACAGAGGAGGAAAGTGGACTTTGGACATCTTTAGTGAAAACACACAGCCACACCTCCTCCTTTTGGGTGGTCTGATACCTTCGATCAGACCCACAAAAACAGCCAGACAGCCTGTTGGCGGCCCCTCGCGCATAAGGTGACCCACAGGACTTAAAGTTGACTCCGCTAACCCCTAGCCTTTTTAACAAACAGGGGAGCAGAGGGACAGTTTGTGGGGGATCTTTGCCTGAAATGACCTTCAGTCCCAGTCAAAAAAAAAAAAAAAAGGAGGGTCGGCATCACTTTGTATCTCAGAAACTTGACTTCCTATCCCATTCCTTTTTTTTTTCTTTGCCCAACTGCTCTTAATCAGAAGGATGACTTTCGGGGGGACACGCACTCTTCCCACAGGGCACTGCATTGTCATCTGTCATATCAGGTTGTTGATAAAACAAGATTTTCTATGTTCTGATCTGGGTGCCCCCCCCCGCCCGCTTCATACTGCGCTCGAAAGAAGAACTGTCTCAGATAAACTCAAGTTAATCACATTACCAATCTTCAATCCCTTTTCTGTTCTTTCATTTTTTTATTTGAATTGCTTTAGAAAGGAGGTCCTCACTGTTCCCTTTAACACGCTCCTGAGGAAGAGACCAAACTAAACCAAATAAAATCAATTTCTCTCCAAAGTGGATCACTTTTTCTTTGGCTTTCTTTTTCTTTCTTTCTTTTTTGTTCTCATTTCAGTTCATCCTTTCTTCTCTTCTCTGGATCCATGCAGTGATTAAGAGTCGGGGAGCTCTGACTGTTGTGGCAGTCTGTTTGAGACACAGGGGCCAAATTATTCTGCAATATTTTAACTCGCCTTAATTATAGATCATACTATTTGTGCTTGGTTTTGCTGTTCTTGGAGTTGTTGTTTTCTCTTTTTTTATTTGTATACCGCTTTTGTTTTTGTTTGTTTGTTTGTAACAGAAGCTAATTGTGAGCTTCCTGTGATTGTTTTTCCTGGATTTTATTACGTTACCCAGAATCCTCAGCACTGGCTTGCTGAGCCACTCTGGACAGAATATACAGTAGGGTCAGCCTGTATTGAGAGTAATGTATTGTATCATAAAAAGATGTCGGAAGGTTCTGGAGTCAAGCCACTATTTTTGTGTGTTAAAATATTTGTTACTGTTACTTTTATCATTTCCATACGACAGACATCAGGCTAATTATGAGCCTCAGAGTTTTTGTTATTGGATTTGCCGATGTTATTTTTTGTCCTTGGCCCATATCCCCCCTCGGTTTTAAAGAAGTGTGCATCCAAAATGGTCATTCTGTATGATTATTTGTGAATGGACAGACCATTTTTTTAAACGAATCCTGTTGACTGCCTTGTTTGAGAGAGCTCACAGTTCCAAGAATGCTCTTGTCTCCTGACTGAGGACCCACAAAGTGAGACACCAAGTCAAGATCAGTGCCTGTGTCAACGTGCATGCAAGCATTTACATACTGTACATCCAACCGGTTCTGCTCAACGTGGCTTTGGAACCCCTCAAACGCTGAGGAGGAAGTTCTCTCTTGAAAATACTTGTTCGCATTTATTTTTGTACATTTTAAGTGTACCCCAACCCCCCCCTCCCCCTTCCCTAACCTCCAGGTACAATTAAATCTAAGAAAAAAACTTTTAAAAGATTCAAGTGGTACATTTGGGAATTCTTTGGGAAATCCAATGGGTGATTGGAATATCAAATTGGCCTCAACAAACCAAACAACGGTTAGCAAACATGTAGTGTCCTCGCTGTCATGGCGAGCAGTCTTTGAATGTGTGTCTGTTGTCATGATCACATACTGGTTTTTCCTTTCTTTCCTGTTTTCTGGTCAAAACAAATTGGACATCTCACCATGACTTCTTTGTGTAAGACTTTGGGACAACGGAGAAACGTTTCCTGACAGAATGAATAAATTGATCAATATATGATTAAGAGCTGCCTTCGAACTCTCTGCTCATCTTTTAACTTGTATGTAGAGTATGTATGTTCAGTGCACGTCCGTGCTGTTTGTACATATGTGTCCCCCAACGAGTGTTTGCTTGTGTTTGTGAGCTTATAGTCATAATTCTTAGATGATGTGCACACCGCCAGAGTGTAGTATTTCAGTGTGAATGCAGTCAGGAAGATGAAGCCGTGCTTTGAAACTTGGAACAGCAACAGTTCATGTCAGGCACTCGTGTACCAACCGGCTGAGCTAATGATGATTCACAATAAGATACTAAGAAAAGTAATCTAGTGATGACAGTTTTATTTAATTATCATCCATGACACCACAGGATACGCCACGCTGTGCCTTAGAACAGCGGCGCTTTTTGCAGGTATAGTGTTTATCCTGTTTCCATCATAGTTTAGCATGTTAGCATGCTAACATTTGCTACTTGGCACTAAATACAAAGAACAGCTGAGGCTAATGCGAAGTTAGGACATTTTTATCTAATCTTATCTAACGATGATGCTAGGTTAGAGTAAAAGTCGGGATCATTAAAGTTAATAGTTAGTTTCACCTAGGTACTATGGAGATCTGCACCAAATGTCACATGAAGAAACCAAAAGGCAAAATTTGTATTTTTTTGTTTTCATAATGGCACCCCCTAATTTTGTATTCATTTGATGGTATACCATTAGATATCTGTACATAGATGGCCACAATATTCCTATGCAGCCAATCAAATCTACCATAAAGCAGTCACACTGCCGTTCTATCGTAGGCATATCGCAGGTTACTACACAACACAAGACACAGACTTTAAACCACAACCATATTAGCTTTCCTGCCAAAGTCTCCTTCTTATGTAACTTACAAACTTAAAACACATCTGTATTTTTCTGGATGTTAGTTTGTTGAACGAGCCACCGAACGAACATTCAGCTGGAGAAAGTGCACTGCGAACGTCAGTTAATAACTAGCTGCTCGCCTGCAGCACATTAAACAGCATGTACCTTCAAATGTCACTTGGGTCCGATTAGATGCTTGTGTGCTCCTTACTCTTCAACATAAGTTTGTTTACTTTGTCTGCATCATTGACAGTATATATAAGGTCTGTATGAATATATATGGCGTGCAGCCTTGCTTCAAGCTTTTGGCCAGTGGCCACTCACTGTATTGCAGTAAAAACTTCCCCTACAACACAAAAAGCATTTCTCATAGACCGCCACTATAAAAGAGACGTCTGTAAAAGTGTTGACAGGACACCTTGAACTGCAAGCAAGGTCAATCATGACTCTTTCTGTCGTGAATTTTTGACCCATGGAGGTTTTATATTCCTAACACACTGTGACGTCATTACTATGTTAAGTCTATGGGCCAAGGGGGAACTCAGTGGGGCAGGGCAGCTGTGAAACAATACTGCGCTACTACTTTAGTGGGCCACATACCCAGGAAGTAAACCCGGAAGCTAGATTTTTTTTTATGCGACATGCAACTAATTCTCATTGGACTGAATAGGTGCCATCTTGGCATCCAGTATCTGGTTCTGTTATATATCTATGTTTGTCTGATTCCCCTGCAAGGGCTCAGCCTGCTGTTGTCAATCAAACACAGACAGCGATTCACAGCACTCCAGCTAGCTCCCTAAAGACCTTTTTTCCATTTGATAATGAATAAAAGTATTATCAGTGCATTTAAAAAACATTTTGATATTATTTTTGATGACTGAATGTGATTTCAGTTGAACGTCAAGCAACTTAAAGCTTGGTTGGAACCAGTGTGTTCTACAGTCTAGACTAGAGCAAACAGTACAGACAAAGGGCCGTCATTCAGCATATAAGTACGTAAGGATATTGGCTCAAACTACAGTGAACTGAAGATAAACTCAGTAGGCAGAAAGAAAATAAAAATAAAAAGTAGCAGAGCTGAGAGCTCAGCAGTCCTCTGCTATTGTGTGCTTCTGTATTTTTTGGGTGACATGATAGAAATCTGTGTTTTAGATGTACGATCCCAGCGGTGCAGTGCTGGCATTTATTGTGGATTGAATGTGAAACAGGAGCCGTCTACGGCCTGCTAGTGTTTATTCTAGCTTTGCTGGGACACATTTGACATACAGTTACTGACAACTAAGAAGGTATAAGTCAAACCAGTTTACTGACTGCGGTCACCGAGTCTGTGTGTGTGTGTGTGTGTGTGTGTGTGTGTGTGTGTGTGTGTGTGTGTGTGTGTGTGTGTGTGTGTGTGTGTGTGTGTCTGTGTTTGTGTGTGATGAAATTACACTCTTAGGAATAACACTTCATTGGTTCTCATCACAGGACTGTTCAGTGGTGAAATTGCCTCTCCGCTTTTAGACAAAGGCATTATATGCTCAGCTATGTTTAGATTGGTGCTTTTTCCTGAGGCTCTAACTCATTGCCTAGTCTCTCTCCATCCCTGTAAATACAGGCTTTGAGTATCTGTGTCCATGTGCCTATTTGTTCTCCCCTTCCCTACAGATGTGTGTACTGTATGTACTGTATGTACCGGTCCTGCAACAGTAATACTACAAGCAATTTAGTGTTAAAAAGTCAGTCAGCACTCCATCTTTTACTTCTTGTTTATCTTTGTGTACATGTGTGAGTGTGCTCTAAGCAGAGTGCAGTGTGGGTGTTGAAGAAGTAAGACGTTGGTCCACAAACCCCATGTTGCTTTGCTTGCCTATAGGCGTATCTGTGTCCTGGTCTCTGTCTGGTCTATAATAAGTGAATCTCTTTCTGCATCTTGATGCATGCTTACTAGACTGTGTGTGTGTGTGTGTGTGTGTGTATGTGTGTGTGTGTGTATGTGCGTGGTTTTGCAAGCATGTCAACCTCACAACTGGAGCCTGGACAAACCCCTGTGGGCCCAGCAGTCTCTTTTGCTGGAGGGCTTAAAACATTGGTGCTAAACTGACCTACACTGGTCAGGGCTGTTTTTCTACGGTGCTATTTTCGTCAGCCCTCCTCCTCCTCCTCCTCCTCCTCCTCCTCCTCCTCCTGCTGTCACTGGCTCAAGACTTGAGTGATTACAACAGGAACCGAAGTAATACATTTTCATTTAACCTGAGTCCTTACAGCGCACTGCTTAATGGCCCCTCTTAGGTTAAGGACCATATATTTTGGTGGTGGATATTTTTCTGCGGGCATAGTGAAGCAGCTGAAAGGGGCTTTGCTGAAGGTCAGCAGGGGTCAAGCTGTTGCTATGGCCCGGATGAAATAGGTTTAAACACATATAGGAGACACATTGAGAGAGTAAAGGTTGTTTACTTGTACTGTCTTTTGCAGCAGGGAGGCCCTGCTCATCCATATTCAGACTGCATTGTAACGTCGCTTGTCAACATCTCCTCTTGCCACTCACTTCTGTTTGTTGGATCATTACTTTAGTTTGATGAATTTTTATGTGTGTACTGTCTGTGTGTGACATCTCAGCACCTCCTTTAAAGCTCACTCATTGTCAAAATTGACTGTTCGCTAAACCCCAGGTCTGTCAATCTTTGGATTTTCTCCACACACCAAAGCGTTGTGCATGTAGCTGCAGTATGAACAGTACTCTGTTTTTAAAGAGCGGTTGGTGTATCAGGGTTATTTCCCCTTCCAAAACCATCTCACCAGAGCAAAAGTGTAAGGAATGAAATAAATAGTATGTTTGTTTGCTCTGACATAAGCTACAACCATACCAGTTTACTACCTACCTGCAGTAGTAGTTAAACATTAGGCCATGTAGCACCTCATCAACCAACTAGGGTGCATTAGTTGTTGGGGATAGACATAATTCCACAAGCCAAATAATTTTTCTAAAATAGCATTACATTCACCAAACACATGATCTAGTCCTCGTCCACAAAGCCTCTTAACATTAAAAGTAAAACAAATATGAACAATAAAGCATAAATCTAACCTTTGTTCCTTTCAAAGTATGTAAGCTGAGCAGCTAAACAGGGTTGTTTTAGAATGAAATTAGTTTTATTTCTTAGCCCATATTTAAAATATTATTATTATTATCAGCTAGAAACAGCTTTTTCAACCAATCCATTGAATCTGTTAGCGACAGTTGTTATTTCAGTGGACAAAATGGAGAGTCACCAGCTAGAAATAAGAAGCCAGCTTTTGTTTACTTCTGACGGAAATCAAAGACTCATTGTTTCAAAAATTGCTATGAATTTGGAGCTGTGAATGTGCCACCGCTATCTGTGTCCTGTGTGAGAACGGAAAGCTTGACAGGGCACTGTGGGGAACGGGGCTTAGCGAATGGTCAATTGACCTGTCCAGTCATGTTTGAGGAGGCTCTCTGATGACACCCATTTAAGAAAAAATGTCAATTCTTTTTATACCATTTTTTCCACTGAATGTCTCTGCATCATTTCTCTGTTGTAGTTTTTCTTTTGAAGCTCTGCTCTGTCGATCAATAAATACATTTGAAAAGGTGTTCCCATGCATCCCTGTCTTGTTCACGCCCGTGTTCATGAATGCATTGGTCCTCACCCCACCGCCATTTCAAGCTTACTGAGTTGTGACATGACAGTTTGACATGGAAAGTTACAGATGATCAAGAATCTTTCTTTTGTTTTTGTTTTTGTCTTTTTGAAAGACTTTTCTTAAAGTTATCCTTACAGGTATTTGAATATGAAACAGCAATGTCTGGAATCTAAAAAGTATTTCTTGTCAACTTTACTTTCAAATTTTTTTATATTCACAGTTTGATCATATGTCAGCCTTTCATGTCAATCCTCCCACATCCATTCAAGATCCATCATTCCTCCAAAAAGGTGAACAGAGCTGTGCCATGATGTTTCCTTTCTTTTTTTGTAGAGAAATAGAATAGTTGCTGTCACTGTGTGGAGTGTGACAGATGAAAACCATCTTCCAATCTCCCTCTGGTCCATTCAGGGGCTGAGAGCATTTCTCCTCATTCCACAGAATAGACCATCTTCATATTTCTGCAGCAATAGGGACAGGAGGATTCAGACAGAGGGTGAAGCACATTCAGT